CCACCTCAAAAATGGGTGGAAACTGTATCATGTTCCCAAAGGTAAACTTATCCTTTCTAAAAAAGTTTTGACTATACATATTATTTAATGATTTTAAATAGTTTTTGTGACTGAAAACAATAAAGCATTATAGCATAAATGATAAAAGATGCTGGGATATTCATATCAAACAAGAATAAAATTGTTTGTAACACAGTCCATGTTGCCAGACTAATACTTTTAGTGAACAAGTGTTCAGTATACCAAATTTGCACATAGATCTGGAGATGATTCCAGAATGAGACAAGCCAGAAGAGGGGCACAATGGAGGCTTGAGATGGATAAGAAGCCCTTTTTTGTAATAACCAACATAAATACAGGTATATTCTTTATATTAAGTGTTTCTGTCCCCCCCCCCCCCTTTTTTTCTCTTACTTTAATCTTTTTTTGCTTGCAGTAGCACATTGAAACTACACATTTGAAAACACAAAGTGCACAATTGCATCATTAGGTATATTGTTAAAGCGGAGCTCCACCCAAAAGGGGAAGTTCCGCTTTAAGGACTGCTCCCCCGCTCCCCATTAAGGACTGGCACCTTTGGGGGGTGGGTACCCGAATTTGACAGGTACCCGCTCCCACTTCCGGTCCAATCGCCTAGGCGATCGGAAACAGAAGGTGTCCTCCCTCCTTCCCTCCCTGTAGTCTTTTGGGACACGTGACAGGTCCCAGAAGACTACAAGGACCATTCATGAAGTGCAGAGCTACTCTTGCATACTCAGTGGGTACCTGGCTCTGAAGCTGCAAGCTATCACAGCCGGGTGCCCACACTGAAGATACTGGCCTCCTGGAATACAGGATGGCCGGTGAAACGAGCTGGGGGACACACACCGTGGGACTGAGGGACAGGTAAGTGGCTGTTTTTTAAAAGTCAGCAGCTACAGTTTTTGTAGCTGCTGACTTTTATTTTTTGATAGGTTGAGTGGAACTCTGCTTTAAGCCCTCTTCTTGCTGGTTTGCGAAAACTTAAATCGGAACTTCACTCTCTCAATCAACATTGACTAACTTAAATCCTTATGCTGCTAGCATTAGTAAATACAGTAGGTGGGAAATATGTCATATTTACTTGTTTTAAGCTTTTTTTTTTTTACATTTCAGTTACTTCCTTGTTTCCATACCTAGGCAAATGATGTCATACATCCCAGGAGTCTTCAGGAGAGAGGGTGGGGGGTTCTCAGCTATGCACACCATCCTGCCTGCATGTCTGAGCTAAGCTCAGATAGATTTCAGGAAGTAAATGTTACATGAATCATCTGCCCTTACTCAATATGGCAACAGTTAGAATTCCTAGGGGCTGTTTTCTCAACAAAATAAAGCACGACAACATGGATGGAAGGGTGAATTTGCTTTGAATATTAAAAATAAATTGAATACCATTTTTGGTTTGTGTTGCTCAAATGCAGTATAGTTCCACTTTAAGCAGTGTATAAACCATGGTGTAGTATGATTTGCAGTCTACCCCTATGGGCACCCTCTAATGCATTATAAATCATGTGTATTGATTATACCTCAATTCCAACAGCCAACTCTGCATACTCTTGGTTGTATGACTGATACATTTTCTGAAAAAACTTTCAAAAATAAAGTATGTCTAAAGAAATGTTTACAATACCAAAAAAAACTACCATACTAAGGTGTGGATGAAAAGTTCTATGAAGACACAGATGGGCATTTATTAGCATTCAGGTGCCCAGTTGCAAAAGACAACCCAATTTCTAGGGTTTGTCTTCATCAGGGTCTGTTTGGTTTAAGTCAAGACAAGCTGTACTGATACGGAGAGGAGAAACTAATCATTGTCTGTCTGTGTACACAAACTATGTGCTCCAATGCAAAGTGCAGATTGATGCAAAGCAGTCAGAAATGTCACACAGCGCCTAATGTGTAGCATCCTTGGATACATGTCAGCATAACTTCTGAAGTTTACCATATGCATGGAAATTATGATGCAATTTCAACCATTTTCAACCGGATTTAATTAATGAAAATGACTGGACAGTAAGCAAGCACCAAGGGTTTTGAATGTTACTCAAGCTTGCTAAATTTCTTCCTATGATAACATTGGTCTCTTTATAAATACCAGCAAAAAAAATAGGGTGGTAAGTTTAGAGTGACTAATTTGTTACCTGCCATCACTTTGTATGTGCAATGATTAAGAAAAGGCAACAGTGCTAAATCAAGAACCTGACTTTGTTTCCTTGTATCTCTTGGTTACATAGTGCTCACTTACAGATGCTACTATGGGCCAGCAATAAACAGACTCCTAAAGGATTGTAGACATACCTAAAATTAGAACTCTTTCTTACTTTCTGTTTACATTTGTGCCTTTATATTTGATATTTCCTTGTTGTCTGTGTTGTCTGTATAAACAGTCTGGAGTTATTGGCTATTTGTTCTGCTTTTGATACCTAACAAAGTATACAACACATTATCTATAGAACATTGGGGAACTGGAGAAGAGCAGAGAAGTACAGAGAAGGGCAACTAAACTGATAAGAGGCATGGAGGAGATCAGCTATGAGGAAAGATTAGAGGAACTGAATTTATTCTCTCTTGAGAAGAGGAGATTAAGGGGGGATATGATCAACATGTATAAATACATCAGTGGTTAATATAGTGAACTCGGTGTAGAGCTATTCACCCTGAGGTCATCACAGAGGACAAGGGGGCACTCTACGTCTGGAGGAAAAGAAATTTAATCTCCAAACACAGAAAAGTTTCTTCACAGTGAGAGCTGTGAAAATGTGGAATAGACTCCCTCAAGAGATGGTTCTGACCAGCTCAATGGATTGCTTCAAAAAAGGCCTGGATTCTTTCTTAGATACACAGAATATAACTGGATAATAACATTTATAGGTAAAGTTGATCCAGGGAATATACGATTGCCTTTCGGGGGATCAGGAAGGATTTTTTTTTTCCCAGCAGGAGCAAATTGAATCGTGCTTTGCTGAGTTTTTTTTGTCTTCCTCTGGATTAACTGTGGATATAGGAATATAACTTTTTTTTTCTACGGTTGACCTGGATGGACTTTTGTCTTTTTTCAGCCAGACTAACTATGTACTGTAATTATCTTTTGCATCTACAAGTACATACAGTATCTGGCTCTCCTGTCCCTGATAAAAAGTCATATTTAATCAAACTACAAAATATTTGCCTTCAAATAGTCTGCTGAATACAATATGCTAATGTAACTTACTCCACTCATAAGCATTTTACAGTGCTGGAATGAAAAAAACAAAATGATTTTAGGAGCTACTGGGCAAAGAATAGGGGCAAAGAAATATCACATGTCCAAGCATCTATGAGAACAGAAGCAAGTAGACATATTCCTTGATTATATAATTCACTGATCTACACGGATTTTAAGGGAGACTTTTACTGATTGCTATATCTATTCTTCATTGTGTACATTTTGTGAATTATTGTAGGAAAACTTTACATTTAAGTTATTTTTGATGTGACTTTGCCATTTTTTTACATTCTTTTCATGCCATTCACTGAAGGTATTTTATGTAATACACTGGTAAGAAAACAGACTGACATGTAACTGAGACACACTGTTAAATAGACGTGCAATTTGTTTAATTAAGAAATGAAATTTGGATGATAATTTTGGTATTTGGAGATTTGCATGTATAAAAATATCAGAATCACAATAGCAAGGAATTTCAATGAATCTGAAATAAAAGAATGAAAACAAGGAATTCATTTGTATTAATTCATTTCATTTGGATGACATGATGCGATAGCTGGGCCTTTAGTAAATATTTGATTTATTCAAAATAATGTAACAACATAATGAATTTTACAAATTGATTCGGACCCACTTTGTTTTTATTTTGCACCTACATTTTTCATTATTATAAAAAATGCACCACTTATAAAATGGAAACATATTGCAATAGAAACAGTAAGGGATAAAATTGAAACAAGATGATTCCTACTTTTTGTGTTTGAGTTGGATTGAAGTGGATCCATCACAAATCTTTGAATCATAACATAACAAATGAAACCAAAATTAATTTTTTTCCCTTCATTCTTTCAAATCCATTTTGTTTTTGTTTTTTTTTTGCATTAACATTTTTCATTATTATAAAAAATGCACTACATATGAAATGGTAACATTGCAATAAATACAGTAAGGTATGAAAATGAAATAAGATGATGATTCCTACTTATTGAGTTTGGGTTGAATAGAGGTGGATCCATCAGAATCTTCAAATCATAACATAACTAATGAATCCAAAATGTAGTTGGTTCCATTTATTCTTTCAGATGCATGTGACTGCAGTCGATATTGTCCAATCAGCTCATTTAATTTCTCAGAGTGCAAGAGTAATCTCCTGAAATAATGAATTAACACGTTAAAACAAATATAGCCAAACTTCCGAAATAACTTCTGAAAATACGTTCAACTTCTGAAAATACGGGTCAATTCGGAACAACTAATATACGAAACAAATCTAAATATACAAAACTAATCAGAATATAGAAAACAAATCCGAATATAAAAAAATTAATCTGAATATACAAAACAAACTCCAAAAACGAATCATACTGCATAATGAATATGATTAAACAAAATGGTTAACTTAACCGCCTCCTGCCCGCCATATAACGAAATGATGGGTGGGTGGTGGTTCTCTCGTTCTGGGAGAACATCCCACTCTAACTGCACGTGCGCTCCCCCTGGGGTGCGCAGCGTGGCAATCGATGGTGCGCTGCGTCCCTGGGACACAGTGGATCACTGTGTGGAAAGAGCCAATGACTTCGGCTCTGTCATGTGATCAGCGGTGTCCAATCACAGCTGATTGCATGTAAAAAAGGAAATGCTGGCTATCGGCAGCTCTCTCCTCACGCTGACAGCTCGTGAGGAGAGGAGAGCCGGTAATCGGCATTCCTCAGAGGGGACATCTACACTGATCATCAGGGCACTGATGATCAGTGCCCTGATGATCGTGTAGCCCCATCAGTGCCAACTGTCAGTGTCCATCAATGCCACCTATCAGTGCCCATCAATGCCACCTGCCAGTGCCCATCAATGCCACCTGTCAGTGCCCATCAGTGCACATCAATGCCACATATCAGTGCCTACCAGTGCACATTAATGCCACATATCAGTGCCCATCTGAGCTGCCTTTCAGTGCCAACTATCAGTGTCAGTCAGTGCCACCTATCAGTGACAGTCAGTGACACCAGTCAGTGCCGCCTATCAGTGCCAGTCAGTGCTGCCTATCAGTTCCAGTCAGTGGCACTTATCAGTGCTTGCCAGTGCCACCTATCAGGGCCTGTCAGTGCAGCCTAACAGTGCCAGTCAGTGCCACCTATCAGTGTCAGTCAGTGCTGCATATCAGTGCCGCCTATCAATGCCATATATGAGTACTGCCTTTCAGTGCCCATCAGTGATGTCTGTCAATGCCCACCAGTGATGCCTGTCAATGCCCATCAGTGCCACCTACCAGTGCCCATCAGTGCCGCCTATCAGTGCAAATTAGTGCAGCCTATCAGTGCAAATTAGTGCAGCTTATCAGTGCCTATCACTGCAGCCTCATTAGCGCACATCAGTGAAGGAGAAAACTTACTCATTTACAACATTTTATAACAGAAACTAAGAAAAAAAACTTTTTTTTTTCTAAGTTTCAGTTGTTTTTGATTTGTTTAGCAAAAAATAAAAAAACCCAGAGGTGATTAAAAACCACCAAAAGAAACCTCTGTCTGTCTCAAAAAAATGATAAAAATTTAATATGAGTACATTGTTGCATGACCGCGCAATTGTCATTCAAAATGCGACAGCGCTGAAAGCTGAAAATTGGCCTGGGCAGGAAGGGGGTATAAGTGCCCTGTAGACAAGTGGTTAAAGGAAAAGTATAGCTAAAGCTCTTTTGGCTGTACTTCTGTTGTGGATCACAGGAGTGCAGTTCATTCTGCACTTCTGGGACTCGTTTTTCAGCTGACAGGGGGCTGAAACCCTCTATCAGCTGACATCACACAGCTGGTCCAGGCTTGGGAAAGATCTTGACTTTAAAGTCAGGATCCACCCCAGAGTCTGGAGCGGCACCTGGGCCAGCCTTTCAGTGATGCACTGAGAGCCTAAGCCAGCCACTCCCTCCCCCTCCACAGCCCAGCTCTCCAGTGAGGGTGGGGGGTGAGGTGCAGAGCAGACAGTAGTGACTGACAGTCCCACTCTGGTCAGCTGTGAGATCTCAGTGGTCAGCAGTCATGTGATCCCTGAGTTCTCACCCTTAGAGCTGGTGGGGGTCAGATGCAGCATCCACTTAGGTAAGTATAACCTAAGTATAAAAAAAGCCCTATTTCTCTTTTATTGAATGAATCCAGAACAAAATAAAACACATTTTTTCGTGGTGCACATCTCTACTGTTAAATATGTAGGTTCTTATGATCAGTCATCACTCAGAGGAGACTTCGGGTGACATTATTAATACGTTAGGCACACCATTAGATATGCATGTTCTTATGATCAGAGCCTGCTGTTGAGTGCCTTAGTATGACATCATTCATTGAACAATGATTTAACATATATCACACAATGGTTTACAGGGCAATGACCATGGAACAGAGGGAAAGCTTTTTCTAGAGAGCAATCTAGACAGACTAAAAATTCCTCACTTCAAGCACCTCATGCTCTAGATAGGTCTCATAAACTCTAGGACCATTGACAGGAAATTACTAGGACTTAGGTACATTGGTGCTTTACTAATGCCTCCACCATATGAACAGCAGACTCTTTGCTCTCTGTTGTTTTCCTGGAGAGAATTTTTGAAAATGAAAACCTATAAGATAGCACATTACATCCAGGTTCTCTGGCCTCTGCTGCTTCTCCTAATCATCTATGCATCAATGTGGTCCCAACCATCTTTGCATTTTTGACCTCTGTAATACGGGGAGATCAAGATCACCAACCAGCCATTTATAAAAGTAACAGACTTTACTGCTTCTTCAAAAGTCAGGAAAATAAACAGCTTTCTTCAGCAAAGCAAAATACAAACACTCCACAGTTTTAGTATAATGGAAGCAATATTACACCCCATCACCCTAATGCCAGGCCCATACCTGGGTTAAGCTTCCCATCTGCTTTGGTGTACAAGAAAAGCTGCAGGAGCTCAGCAAACGGAATTTCAGATGTCAGACAGTCCACACTATCCCAATATAATGCCTCCCATTCCAGTTCACAGACAAGAACTGACTCCTTCCTGCCCCTTTTAAAGATTTCCTTGCAGGTGGGTCAGACCTTTCCTTGTAATCAGGGTTTGGAGGCTCTTTCCCACCCAAAGTCTTTCTAAGCATCTGAATTTTGGGTCCCTAATAGGGACTTACCAATCCTAAGAGAACAGCCAGCCAGTGCTTTCCTCTCCAACTGGACTACCCCAGAACCATTCACCCTGCATGGGTGGAAACCCCTGAGTACTCAATAATGTCTTAAAACCATCTCCCTCAAAGGTACCACAACCCAAATAGTGTAGAAATATACCTGCATTCCAGGACCCATCCCGGGCTTATTGTATATCTCTCTGTAGAATTAGTCAGCACCCTTCCACTCCTCAAGTAACTGCGTAACCATCAGATCAGGTCTTTTTTATGGTGCTTAAGGAGTGATTAATATCTATGAACAGCAGCAACTCTCATTTCAAAGTTTCATTATTAAGCTGGCCATAAACTGTTCAGTTTTCTTTTTTTTTTAGCCAGTGAACAAAAAAAACTGAACCGATTCCTCCATCCACTTATTAGAGGTAGATGGGGAAATCCTCTATTGCGCACTATTGTATCCTGACAGCGGGGAGACTCCCCCACTGTCACAATACACAGATCAGCACTGCAGGCACTGATTAAATGGCTTTTATCCAACCGACAGTTGAACAGAAGTCGATTGGTAGATCAACTTCTGAGCAATTGCAGTGGCCACACATGGATAAAAATGAATCCAGTCCATTCTGAACAAGCTGAATTTTGATCCATGTATGGCCATCTTTAGTCTCACATTTGATCAAAGTTTCCACAGGGACATTTTCTTGTATGCGAGGCTCTCACTTGAGCGGGTTTACGTCCCGCATTTGCGTTAGCAAGGCAGCCCATTTATTTGAATAGGCTGCTGTGCCTGCATTTCCTGCAAAAAAAGGCACCTGCACCATTTTAAAAGCGCAGCCACAGGGGATTCACATAGTGTTTTTGCATAATGCACCCACCCGCACCCACAAACACATTGTGGCTTGAGATGCGTGAGGGTGTCATTAAGAATAAATGGCAGCCCTGTGCATCTCTACAGAGCAATGTGATTTGGCTGTGGGTGGTTGCAGGTGTGGGATCAGCTGTAATTCCTATACCCGCAACCAGGGGCGGATTAACCATTTGGAAACTCGGGCAGTGCCGAGGGCCTGGGGTCAGTAGGGGGCCCCATGAGATGCCCCTGGTTCCTTTTTCATAGGCTTTTTTGAGTTTGGGCAAGGACACAGGGGCCCCATGATCCCCTATTGCCCGGGGGCCCCAAGAGTTGTCAATCCGCCCCTGCCCGCAACCACCTGCTCAAGTGTGAACCTAGCCTTAAGCTGCCTACTCCAAACAGGGGACCAGTGACTCTTCCAAATCACTTCAACTCCACAGAGGAGAAAAGCTCAATGACCTGCCAGGGGAGGGGAGGGTACCTAGGGTACCATTCTTCTCAGGGTCCAACTACATAATTCAGGGAAGGCCGAGGACACCACCTTCTACCCTTCAGGTCTCCAAAGTACCACCACAAATGTAACTGCACCATGCACAGAAATAATCTCTTATAAGCAAGTATGTGGCCAAGCAACCCACGAGTGTACTAGATGTATTCTGCACATACAGGTAACATATAACCTGATCAGTGACCGCTATCAGTGAATACAAAAAAGTAATAAAAATATATTATCAATAAAGAAGTGCTTTTATTGCATCCCCAGTGAAGATTTCTGCTTTCCTCCTGTCTTGTTGAACACTATCACTGTACCAGAAATTGAGAAGGAATGCTCTGCAACAGTGGCAGTAATAAAAACCCGGGAATTATTTTAATGGCTATCTACAGACATTAGAGAACATTAACCCAGTCAGGGTGTCTATGGACAGGGATCATTTGTTTGTTTGTAGGTGTTTCATGATAGCTCCTTGCTCTCTCCCAAACTGGCCAAGATACCTACCTATTGTTTTGCCCTAAGACAGCTGGTGCCTGCAGCATTCCCCTGCCTTCTCTATGGCCAAAAGCAAGCAGATTTGCCCAACGAGACCTTGTATATTTGTAGAATGATCATTCATAATGTTGTTGCATAGAGTCTCTAGGCCTATCTAAAACCATTTTTGATTCAGATAGAATAGGGAATGGTTGAAAATTCTGTCTGAATTTTCATGATGTCTTTGTCCCCTCTGGCAAGATTTTCTCTTCTGGTGATGATTGTGATTATGACAGAGAGTGATGGGAAATCCAAAATGTAACAGCTGTCATAGGAATGTGAGATATGGATCAATATTCCAATGGGGGCACCTGTTTTAGTGACAACTGTCTAAAGGGGGATTCACCTCACTTTGGATAGTTCTCAGTTCACTTTTTATTTTGTCCCCATGGCAGGATATCAAGGGAAACTTTCCAAATGGAATACAGGCAACAGACAAAAAAGTTGTCTTTTGGTTTGGATTGGTTTTAACTGATCCTTTTCCCTATCCCAAAAAAAAAAAAAAAGAAAAAAACCCAAACATGGGCCTTGGATGTACTCTTTAAGCCCTTCACACACTTCTCCACAGCACAGAAAAACAATATGTCGTTGTTTTACTAAAACTGGAGAGTGCAAAATCTGGTGCAGCTGTGCATGATAGCCAATCAGCTTCTAACTTCAGCTTGTTCAATTAAGCTTTGACAATAAAACCTGGAAGCTGATTGGCTTTTATGCATAGGTACAATAGATTTTGCACTCTCCAGTTTTAATAAATCAACCCCAATGTCTCAAGTTCACATGTAATTTGTTCTTTTCATGGCAAGAAAGAACAATTAATTAAAATTTGTATCAGGAATTTAACTGCCAAATGTGAAGGTATTGGTCTAGAATCAGAAGATCAAAATAATATTGGGTCAAACAAGATAAAAGAATCCAAAAAACAAGGGAGTAAATCAACCAAATCCTGAACTCGATCTGAATAAAAATGCTGTGTAACTGAAGCAAAACATCAGAATGTTTATGTGAACTTGAGCTTAAAGCAGTAATAAACCCCAAACCAAATATGTAACAATTTGCAGCGTGCCAGTCATTAGATGTGGTGGCTGCATTCATTTTCTTTTTATAGGCTTTTTTGCTTCTGTTTCCACCTGGTGACCTGGCAAATAACACACCTGTATTAGAGCGTCCCCACTCTGGATGAATGAGCACAGAGGCACCTCTGGACAGCAGCATTCTCAGTCTAGGGGGAGGGGAATTTTAGATGTACTAGTAGATTTAAATAAACTAATAAATTGAAGCCAGACTATAGCTAATTATAAGCAGTAACAGCAAACAGTTTTTTTCCTTTTGGGATAAAAGCTTTACATGAATAAATAAAAACTGATCATTGTAAGCACCCCTGTCAGTGTTAAATGATATG